GTGCCTACAAAGCTGAAAGAGAAAAATTAAGATCAGAGCAACAGCTTCCTGTAGTTGTGGATTTTAGCAGTCTACACTCTGAAAAACCAAGAAAAGGTCTGATCTGAAGTGTTACGATGATCTTGATGAGAAATTATAAAGGGGAACTTGGTAAAGTTAGGGAGACTGTCAGGACCGCCTTCCCACCTGAAGGGCGCTTCTGGGGCACACGGAACCCCTCCCCTCCCCTCCCCCTCCCGCAGGACCGGACTTTGAGTTGGAAAGGCAGTTATGACAGTTGGAAAGTAGAAGGCAAAGGAGACAGAGATCAGCCCAACACAGAGAGAACTTTCCGATAACTGTACCGACCCAAAATGAGCTGGGCTGCCTTCGGAGGCTCCGAGTTCCTCATCCCAGGATGTATTCAGATAGAGGAGAGATGCCCACTAAGCAGAAATATCACAGAATGGTACCAGGAGGAAAGGAGGGCAGGGGAGGGAAGGTTACGTTACATGTGCTTGTCTCTCCCCTCCCTGGGAAGCCTCTCCCGTAACTCAAAACGCTTCCTCATTTGTATCGTGCTGTGACTGTCACCAACCATCTCTCCATGAGTAGGAAAGAAGAGTTAATATGTTTGTACAGTGTTTCTGAAAGGGAGGTCCAAGAGTTACTTACAGTAGTATTGCTGTGTTATTGTAACAGTCTACTCTAGACCTACTAAACCAGAATCTTTGGGGGTGGGACCCAGGAGTCTGTATTTTAATATGTTCTGTAGGGGATTCTTACTATTAGCAAAGTTGGAGACTCACCGGCTTAGTGGTTAAAAGCACTTTGGAGGTTCGAATCCTGCGTCTACCACTTACTGGGTGATCTTGGGTGTATTACTTAAATTCTCTGGGCCTTAGTTCCCTAGTCTGTACAACGGGGATAATAATTAGTTCCAGCCTCACAGGGATTTTGTGAGATTAAATAAGGTGATGTGTGTAAACCACTTGGCACCTTGTGAGCTGCTGTGATGGTGCCAGGAGGCAAGGAGGGGAGGGGAGGGCACCCCATTTACAATAGTAGATAATGACAGTCCCTCCAATGATTGGGGGCCATAGAGCTGGGAATATAATGCAGGTGCTTATCCAGCAGACCGGTCCATCTCAAACTGATGTGCATCAGAGTTACTCGTGGTGCCTGTTTCAGTGCTGATCCTGGGCCCCATCCCCATGTTCCGAATCAGTAGGCCTGGGGCCGAGGAATCTGTATTTTTATTATGACCCATAATGACTCTGACAAATATCAAAGTTTGTAATACCACCATGCGGCATTTGCTGTTAGTATTGCACGGCGGCTTTGTAGTCAGACCTGTGTGCAAGAACCTGTATTCTAAACAGCTATAACCTCGAGCAAGTTAAGCTTTCTTGCCTCCATTTTCTCATCCATAAAAAGGACCTTGATAATCCCCATTTCACAGTATCATTTTACAAATTAATATACATAAAACACTTTGCAAAAAGTGCCTAGCACGCAGCAAGTGCTCAACAGATTGTAGTTAAAATCCAAATAAAATGCAGCCTCTATCCCTCCTTAGTCTTAGTTAATGATGTGGCTATTATTAAGCCCATTTTAAGTTAATAAAAAATTCTGGTCTTTGTTTTACATTCAGTATCAACAGAAGCACTGAAATTATCTTTTTAAAGATAGGATTCTTTAAAACTACCTTTTATTGCTTAAGAAAAACAGGCCAAATGAATTTGTGTTGGTGGTAAAGTTTGCCATCATAAACACACCCTGCCTCTTGGGGTCCCCCCCCCGCAAGAAGAGATTCAAATGCTATCCCTCTAGATCACACTGGCTAGATATCAGAGATTAAGTACAAGTGGAAATTTTTTCATCCCCCTGCTTTGCAAAGTATTTGACTTAACATTTTCTGTAGGAGGCAATTTTGGTTATTTTTACCTGCCTGATTGATGGCTGGCAACATGGAACTTTGGTTTAATTCTAGACTTCCGAGATATAGAGCCTTAAAGGAGAGTTAACTCTTCCAGCCCAGGGAGGACAGGCCCAGTCATCCTTGGCCTTGGGCACCCCCTGCCCAGGAAAACCCACCTGATAATGGTGCATGTGGATCTCTCTCTGTTTGTGGCCCAGGTACCATTACTACGGCATTGCGGTGAAGGAGAACTCGCAGTATTATGATGTGATGTATTCCAAGAAAGGAGCCGCCTGGGTGAGCGAGACAGGCAAGAAAGAAGTGAGCAAACAGACGGTGGCATATTCACCCCGATCCAAACTTGGAACGTTGCTGCCAGAGTTCCCAAATGTCAAAGATTTAAATCTACCAGCCAGTCTGCCCGAGGAGAAGGTGACCGTGTCTGAAGTGTTACTGGGAGCGGGGGATTTCTCTCTTTCTTTTACACACACAGACGTGCATGCGCACACACACGCACACACGCATGCACACACCTAATTGCAGAATGGTGAGTTTGAAAATATAAAGCTAGAAATCTGAATCAAGTATGGATTTTAGTTAATAATGTATCGGTATTGGTTAACTAGTTATGACAAAGGTACCATGCTAATGTAAGATGTTAACAGTAACTGGATGTGAGGCACGTGGGAAGTCCCTGTACTATCTTCACAACTGTCCTACAAATCCAGTACTATTCTAAAATAAAAAGTTTATCTGTCTACCTATCTAATCTACCTGTCTGCCTACCTACCTACCTATTGCCCTTCCCATCCCTCTATGAGGTTATACTTTCTTATTTCACGAGGGAAGAACCCCTCTCCTCTAGATTTATTTTTTATAGGATAAAGTTTATTTTCCCATGTGCTGCAGAGGATATGGTGAAATCATAATCCCTCAGACAAAGAAGATTTTATAAGTATAGTGACTCAGAGAGTTCAGATCATAGGGTGTTTGGAGGAAATTATCAGAAGCATGAATTTGGGGACTTTTCCCCAGGTTATCACATCTCTAAGGCACCCGTCTTGATGCAGCCCATGTGCCAGCAGGTGCTGAGCTCCTGTCGTCCACAGGTGGTGCTGGGAGCTGGGGTCCAGCAGTGAATAAGCCCTGAGTCCTGCTCTCAGGAAGCTCACAGTCAAGCAGGGGCTGGATGCTCGTACCAGCAAACTAAGTGTATGTTAAACACGTACACATCTACGTTTTGAAACAAAGAATATCTATAGAGAATGCTTTCAATCTAAGAACTAGATAAATCATTATTTTTTCTCAAATTTGCTTTTTTTTTTCCTCAACAAACTTCCATACCACAGCTTTACAATCCTTGGAGAAAGGAAGCTGGAGATAAAATTCTCCTGCTAAGCAGATTCTAGAGAATTTCCAAATGTCTTTTTTGTGATTTTGGCAAAATCACTTCTTCTTATAAATACACACTGGGTATTCACTTTTCAGTATCTCTCAGCTGATGAGAATTTAATGTAAGAAGCCCTACTGAACTCTGCTATGTGCCAGGCACCGTGCTAAATGCCGGATGCACAGGCATGAATAATATGCCATTTTATTTTCCCAGAGCCTACAGTTTCAAAGGGTGGAGAGTAGGGGCAGGGAGAGAAACCTGTGTTTTCCCTCCGAGGGGTGAGTGCTGTGATGGGACACACTCAGGTGCCGTGGGAGCACAGAGGAGGGAGCTGAGGGGCAGAGGAAATCACCTCCTGGAGGTGAGTCTCACTGGGGTCGGTCAGGATGAGCAGGTGTCAGGCGGACTCCATCCCCTCGACAGGGGATAAACGACTTGAAAATTGAAATTCCAAGGGCAGCGGTAATGCATATTAACGTGTGCCTTTATTGTCGATCCCTCCCCACTCCCCACAGGTTTCTACCTTTATTATGATGTACAGAACACACTGTCAGAGAATACTGGACACTGTAATAAGAGCCAACTTTGATGAGGTAGGTCGACAAGTGTTGAGTTGTAAATACGCTGTGTTGAAATATTGTAACAACACTAGCTTCTGTTTCACAAGCTCCTACTACGTGCCAGACCTTCTGGATGCTCTGGGTGCACATTAGCTCGCTTAATCCTCACAGCCATCCTAGTAACCAGGTGCCATTATCATCCTTGTTTTACAGATCTTCTGTGTGAACAGTAGTTGGCATCACCTTTTCTTTGATCTAATTCCTGAGCCTCATCTTGCCCAACTGGCCTACTAGGAAGACAGTTTTGCCAGGATATCATTAGAGCCAGAATTATAGATTCAGAAAACCCACAGGAAAGCTTTCCTATATTTTGGATTTAATCTTTTCCTGAGGCTTATCCACTTCGATGCCTTTGCGCTGGCTACCCTCCATTCTCAAGGTCTGGTCCCACGTGTCTATCAAATCCCACCAGTAGGAGACCAAAATAGAAAATCCAGGAAGCTTACTTTATATAATCATTTTCAATCATTTGCATCTGATTATTTTTATCACTTATGCTTGCAAAGAGTTAAGAGCTTCTTCCTTCTGTCTAATAAGTTTTCATTTGTTAAAAGCCTCCATGATGCCAGGCGTTTTATATAAGTTATCTGACTTCATCCTAATCATAGGAAGACATCATTATCTCCATTTTATAAAAGCTGACAATTCATACAGTTAGTCCTGAGCTCCGAATTCGATTGACTCGACATCTAACTTAACATGGCTCAACCAGAGCACTAATTTTCTGCCCCAAATCTGTTTTCTAAGTCTTCAGTTACCAGCCCCCCCAACCCAGTTGCTCAAGCCGTAAACCTCGAGTCTTTTCTTTCCCTCACCATCCATATCCAGTCTGTCGGGAGGTCCTGTCGGCTCCACCTCCTGAGGTAAACACCATGTTTGTCCACTTCACATCTCACTCCCAGGTATCAGCTGTCACGCTTTACACTGTTCTCCCTCCTTCCTTATTCTTCTCACGCCAAGGAACCAGTGCCATAGGACATTAAATGGTCTAAAAGGCAGAGAGTAGGATGGGAGGTCAAAACTGGATAATACACTTTCTCCAAAGGCTGCTCCATGGACCGAGGACTGAGCAGGGCTCCCTGTGCCTCTTGAACAGGCTTCAAACAGAGAGATGCCTGCAAAAGACACTGATTTTTCCACAGATTTGTTTTACTGTACACAGCTGCTGATCTTTTCAGAATTTCTGCTAGAAACTGACTGCTCAAAATGAGCGAGAGCTAGAGTGAGAGAGTGGGGAGGTGGGGGAGGGAGGAAGGGAGGGTAGGGCTGCATGCAATGAAAGCCTAGAAGGGCAGATGCATTCAGAAGGAATCGATGGGGCAGAGCTTCCTACTCAGAGTTGGAAAGGCAGGCAGGGAGGTCCAGGACCCAGCCTGAGGCTGATGCCCAGGGATAAGCTGGGACGAGGGGACAGCAGAGCACCTTGTCCTAGGGATGCGGCCATCTCCAGGCCCAGCCAGACTGACAGTTAGCCACCAGGTGTCCCAATGGCAGAACAAGAGCCTTGACAGGTGAGCAGAGCCACAGTGGGATTCTGGCTGGGTGACACTCAGATACTTGGGCAAGGGTGTCTCAAATGCTTAGGGCAGTACACTGATTTTTTGGTCCCAGAAGTGATAGAGCCTCCATGCTAACGGTAATAAGCTAACCTTTATTAAGCATCTACTAGGTGCTAAGCGCTATCATAAGTACTTTTTAGGCTCTTTACCAAAGCCTATGCATTAAATCCTCCTTTTATTCCCATTGCACATGTGAAGAAACTGGGAGGTAGAGATATTACACCCATAGCTGGTAGTGGGGCCAGGAGTGGAACCCTGGAAAGCAACCTCCACTCACTTGGATTTTCTTTGTTTTAATTTTCAATCTGGATGAAAACTTTACAGTATTATCACCATTGTGGCATTAACACAACTGTGACTTGAGTTTCACAATTTACAAACCCGACTTCATTCATCACTTTGGTCATGCTTTTGACAATTACCATTTTCCCCATCAGAAGTCAGGGGGGCGTGCTTTTCTCCCCATTCCTCGTCCCCCAGCCTCCCATCCCATGTGTATACTGGGGAGTCCAGGTGGGCTGGGCTGAGCTCAGGTCACCAGGCTGGGCTCAGGGGCGGAGCCTGATCAGAGGAAAACAAGACCCTACTTCTCAGAGGGGCCTGCAGGACACTTCCTGTCACCAGGGCAGGGGCAGAAAACTGGGAAGTGGGCAGCAGTTTGAGGAGAGACACAGGTCTCAGGAATAGGACAGAAGCCCAGCTACCATGTGAAGAACAAACTATCCACGGGACTGACTGGTAGGAAGACAGGCAGACATGGACTCTATGTCATCCATTCCCTGACTTTCTATCTGGCTTTGGACAAATGTCTCTGCAAAATGCGAGTAACAATTTTCAGCTGTAGTAGTGGTATGAGTATTAAATGAGAGTACCTATGCAAAGTTCCTGGCACGTAGTAGGCACTCAGTAAATAAAGCTAATGCCAATAATAATACTACCTCTAACGTATCTGACTAGGGCTAAATACTAAATTATCTCCTGCACTGGATCAGAATCGATATGGGGAACCAGGAATGTGGAGAATGCTATAGGTAGGGGGTTTAAGAGTGTCCGTCTGTGGGAGAAAGAAGAATACGTAGTCCAGGAACCAAGTTGAGCCTATGAGAAGTCACAAAAATTCAGTTATTCCCTAACTTTAAGATGAGCCACTCATCAACGCTGGCTGACGTCTAGATATTCTTAAATGTTGTTATATACACCAGTTAACCACCTTCTATTTCCCTTCACTCCCTTTCTCTCGTCCCACCGCTCTGCCCCCTACCTTGCTCTCTCCCTGACCTGCAACTCACACACCAAAAGACAGGGGTTCAGGAGGCCAGCAGGGGGTTGTCCGCTGTGGCCATTCACTCTGTTTGTTCGTCAACAGCACAGCTGGAGTTCCTGCGATCATCCCGTTAACAGTAACAACTCCATGTTTGAGCGCCTACTATATGTCTGTTCGGTGCTTGTGGTTTGGGGTTGGCGCGCCCACGTAGTTAGGTAGCAACACCTAGCATCCCACAATGGCACCAACTGGCCAGGGCTCTTGGGGGAAAAAGGACGAATTTGGATATCAAGAGGCCCTTGCACTTTATCCAGTTTTTAGTGCCCAAGTCTGAATCAGGAGACTTCTGTTTGTGGTACCTACTCTCCTCCCTTCCAGACGCATTCCTCTTACCGGCAACTCATGCACCGTTCGCTTCCTTTCCAGAACACCCAGGGGCCCCCGGGGCACCAGCAGGCCCAAAGAATAGTGAGTTCTAGTGCTCTGGGCTTTTTCTGAAAGCCACGTCCCACCTCCCCTTCCTGAAACTCCTCCCAGAGCACAGCGAGCGTGAAGGGGCGGATGGGTTAATGTGTTACTCCCAGCGCAGAACAGACCCCAGGCTGCCAGGCCGAGTGCTCCTCCAGCAGTGGGCACGCCACACGGATGCGCAGGGGGAAGACTTGGGACAGGAGGACCAGGGGCCTCCTCAGCCACAGCGGGCTGGGGTGGCCTCTGCCGTGGCAGGGGAAGTAGCTAACAGCATGGCAGACAGGGTTGGCCATGGCTGAGGCCCAAGGCTCTGTTGGGTGGGCGCTGTGTAACCTCATGGTTCTTCTCCTCTCTGTGGGCCGATACAGGTTCAAAGTTTCCTTCTGACTTTTGGCATTTTTTTTTGAATGCCGCCCCACATGCTGCCCGTGCTGGGCTCCTCCACGGTGGTGAACATCGTCGGCGTGTGTGACTCCATCCTCTACAAAGCTATCTCCGGAGTGCTGATGCCCACCGTGCTGCAGGCATTACCTGACAGGTGGGCACACTTCTTGTCACCTCTCCTCATGGCTGGTCCCCAGCATTTCTTGTTCCTGCTTCTCCTGTTATTGAATATAATCGTGGACTCTCTGGGGGCCTCCCTCGCAAAGACCATTAATGTTAGACTTTTAAAAATTAAATTTTATATTTTTGAATATAAATAGAAATGTTAACATTTTGAACCATTTATATGGTTCAAAAGTGAAAAGGTATAATATGGTATACAGTGTAAAGTGCCCCCCGCCCCGCCTCGTTCCCCAGACTCTCACATCCCCTCCCCAGTGCATCAAATACAATCATTTTCTTGTGGGTTCATCCGGATCGACTAGGCACGTGTAACTACTGCGTATAATATACTTTTTCTCTTTCTTAATGAAATGGTGACATGCTGTATATTATTGTTCTGTACTTTGCTTAAAAAAAACCACCTTGGAAGTCATGCCGGACAACTTCCGTGGCCTCCGCAGATGCACTCCCCACTGTGCTCCATGCTACCCTCTGCCTCACGGAGCTCCCTTTCCCCCAGCTCTCCCCTGGGATCAGCCAATGGTGGGGTGGGAGGAGGGGGGGCAGGAGCAAGATCAGAGAGAGGGGCCAGACTGAAGTCAGGAGCTGAACTCTCCGCCTCCCTCCCTGTGAGGTGCCTCAGGCTGGCCGTGTCCCGCCACAAGGCTCTGCTGCCTTCCAGGTTGTCTTTTGGGCATGGAGGTGGGTAACAGCCCCCTGACCCTAACCCCAGGTTGAAGCAGTCTCCCCGTGGGTTCCTCTATGCCTGCCTACACCTTTATGACTTGTCCCTTGTAAATAAACTCTCCTGTTTCAAGTGGCATCTGTTTCCTGTTGGGACGGTTACAGAGAGCGTTGCCCATCGGTCTATAAAGGTGCACATTTACACCTGCATACCGTACCACTGTATTGAATTTAACCAGTTGTCTTGACGTTTCCAGTCTTGTCCTACTACAAACAATGCTGTGACAAATAATGCGTTAACTACCATGTGCAGCACATTAGTTTCCTAGGACTGCAGTAACCAAGTGCCACAGGCCGGGTGGCTTAAAACAACAGAAATGCATTCCCTGACAGTTCTGAAGGCCAGGGGTTTGAAATCCAGGTGTGGGCAGGGTCGGTTCCTTCCAGAGACTGTGCAGGAAGATCTGTTCTCTGCCTCTCTCCCGCCTTCTGGCGGCTGCGGCCAACCCGCGGGGTTCCTTGGCTTGTAGATGCAGCACTCCGGTCTCCGCCTCCGGCTTCACACTGCCTCCCAGTCTGCGTCCAGCTGCCTCTTATAAGGACGCTTAGCATCAGACTTAAGGCCCACTCAACGAATTCAAGAACTCATCTCAACATCCTTACTTTAATCACGTTTGCAAAGTTCCTTTTTTTCCCAAATAAGACCACCTCCACGGGTTCTGGGTGGACATATTTTGGCGGGGGACCACCATTCATCCTACTACATGGAGTATATGTGCAAGATATGTTTCTAGAGGGATGAATTCCCGGTTCAAAGGATATGTGACTTAAACTTTTCTTAGTGGACTTTTAACTTCTCTTATTATGAATGAAATTGAATATCTCTTCATATCTTTAAGAGTGATGTCTATTTTCTTTACCGTGAACTCTGTTCTTAGCCTTCGACTATTTGGTAGTTGATGTTTTTCTCATTGATTTTTAGAAGCTCTTTATTTATGAAAGATAGTAACCATTTATTTGTAATAAGAGTTGCAAATATCTTCTTGTTCTTTTGTTTTTGCCATGCAGGAAATATATTTGTGTCGTTGAATCTATCAGTCCTGGTTTTTATGGCTTCTGGATTTTGTATCATAGTGTTAAAAGTCTTCTTCACTCCAATTATAAAGTAATTTTCCCATCATTTCTCTCAGTAATTTTATGGTTTAATTTTTTACTTTAGAATTTTTGTTCATTTTGGAATTCATCCTGGTATAAGATGGAATGTATGGCTTCATTTTCTTTCCCAGGACTATCCTGTTGTCCCAATGCCATATGTTAATTATTCCATCTTTTCTTCACAGATTTGAGATGCCTCCTTTTTAATATAGTAAATTTTATATGTATTTGAGACTATTTCTAGACTTCCTATTCTATACTATTGATATTTCTATATATTCGTGTTACAGTATCATTCTGTTTGAAGTTTTGTGCTTTTACATATATTTGAATATTTTTTTCTTTTCAGAATTTTCTGTCATGGTCACTTATTTTTCCATATGAATTACTTTAGCATCAGTTTGTCTATGTAAATATATATATACACATACATAACATATATGTAGTTTTATTGGGATTACATTACACTTTCAGGTCAATTTAGGGAGAATAACATCTTTACCATATGAAGAATTCCTAACAGAGAACATCGTTTGTCTTGCCATTTATTCTTATCTTCAATTTTGTGGCCTTTCGGAATATTGTAAATTTAAAAAATATAAATCAGACATTTTTTAAGTTAAATTAATTTATTACATATATTATTTTTTTGTTGCTATTGTAAATGCAGCCTTTTCCTCCATATCTGTTGATTGATGATTATCTATATATCTGAAAGCTATTGATATCTGTGTGTTGTAGTTGGACCTGATCATGTTAGATTTAATTATCTTATTGCTGTATTACTTTTTTGAGGTTCTCTTAAACTTTCCAGGTTTACAATTATATTATCTTTGAAATTTTTCTTCTTTTTCCCTATAGTAATTGGTCAGTTTAAATTTTCTATCTTCTCTGAGATAAGTTTTAGTAAATTATTTCCTACAAATTATCCATTTCTTCTAGATCTTTCAATTTATTTGCTTAGGGTTGAACAAAGTGGGTTTGCAGACTCACTGAATTTCCTTTGTGTCTATGATTATTTCTGCTTTACTACATTTTAGTTTGAGTAGTTATGCTTTCTGCCATTTCTTTGTCATTAGTTTACCTAAATTGTTATTTTTTTTTTAAAGAATCAAGCTCTTGGATATACTTATTGGTGCTATTATTATTTCTTTTTTCCTAATATATTAATTTCTGCTTTTTATTAATTCATTCCTTTTCCTTTAAGTTTACTCTGTTATTCATTTATTAAATAAACATTTATTGGGCCTCATCTGTGTCTGGCCCGATTCTAGGAGCTTGAGTTATATCAGTGTTCCCCCCGCAAATTGACCAAAAAATAGATATTTGACATATTTACTTTAACTTTTGTTTAATAACACAAGTATTTCAGGCTTAGATTTTTCTTTGAGCACTTTTTTAGCTGTATCCCACAGGTTTTAATATTTAATATTTTAATGATTGTTATTTTCTAAATATTTTGCAACTTTGCTGTGGAGTTTCTCTTTGTCCTAAGAAATTTAAAAGAGCATTTAAAAATTTCCAATTCTTAGGAACTAGTGTTTTCTGGTTATGTTATTTATTTTAACTTTTATTGCTTTGTGCTTAGAGGCTGTTTTCTTCACTATTTCTTCTTTTGAGACTTAGTTTAGATTTTGTTTGTTATCTAATACAGGGTCAGTGTTGTTACACTTGAAAAAAAGCAGCGCTTTCTGTAGTCTAGGTACCGACTTTGACATGTATGTATTTGGGACTAACTTTATGGTTATTTATTTCTGAGACATCTTCTCACTTGGAAGGTTAATAAAGTGGTGGGAGTGGGCATCCTTGTCTTGTTTCTCATCTTAGAGAAAAAGCTTTCAGCCTTTCGCTGATGAGTACGATGTCAGCTGTGGGTCTGTCATAAATGGTCTTTATTACGTTGATGCATGTTCCCTTTATACCCACTTCGTTGAGAGTTGTCATCATAAACAGATGTTGAACTTTCTCAAATGACTTTTCTGCATCTACTGAGATGATCATGTGATTTTTAACCTTTGTTTTGTTGATGTAGTGTATCGCATTTGATTGATTAGCGAATATGAACCATCCTTGCATCCCTGGAATAAATTTCACTTGATCATGGTATATGATTCGGTTGGCTAATATTTTGTTGAGAATTTTTGCACCTATGTTTGTTAGTAATGCTGGCCAATAATTTTCCTTTTTTGTAGTGTCTTTGTCTAGTTTTGGAATCAGAGTGAAACTGGTCTTGTGGAATGAGTTTGGGAGCATTCCTTCCCTTTCAATTTTTTGGAATAGAGAACAGGTATTAATTCTTCTTTAAATGTTTGGTAGCATTCATTTGCGAAGCATTCTGGTCCTGGGCTTTTGTTAGTTGGGAGTTTTTTTTAAATTACCGATTCAATTTTGTTGCTAGTAATTAATCTGTTCAGGTTTTCTGTTTGTTCCTGATTCAGTTTTGGAAGACTGTATGTTTCTAGAAATTCATCTGTTTCTTCTAGGTTGTTCCATTTGTTGGCATATAATTGTTTGTAATACTCACTAATGATCCTTTGTGTTTCTGTGGTGTCAGTTTTAACTCCTCTTTCATTTCTGATTTTATTTATTGGAGCCTTCTCTCATTTTTTCTTGTTGAGTCTGAAGGTTTATAAATTTTATCTTTTTAAAGAGCTTCGTTGATTTTTTCTTATTTTTTTTTCATTTACATCATTCACTATATTTACTTCATTTATTTCTGTTCTGATCTTTATTATTTCCTTCCTTCTATTAACTTTGGGCTTTGTTCTTCTTTTTCTATTTCCTTTAGGTGTAATCACAGTTACTTTAAATTCCTTGTGTGATAGTCTGGATCAGTTAATTGCTTTATCTCTTGAGAGTGGGTTCTTTTCCTTAATTTGTGTGTCTTATAATTTTATAATGACTGGCAACACCGTGTAGAACAGTAAAGACCGAGATAAATAATATTTATATAAATGGACATGGCTCTTCTTCTAGGCTCTTACTGTGAGGAATTCAGTCAGTTTATTCAGGAATTCATTGGGTTTGGGTTTTGCTGTTGCTATGATTATATTGTACCACCAGATTCAAATTCTTTTGGGGTACCTTGTGCTTAGGTTGGAAGTTTGTGTGTTGAAAGTTTTTCTCAATGTTACTGCTACGTCCTCAGCTTTA